AAACTAGAAATTAAATTCAAGTATTATAATGCGACTACCATGTGCCTGGAGCCCGGAGGTTTAAGACACCTGCTTCTCATTCATGAGAGTGCGAGTTTGAAACCTACCAACAGCAAGTAACAGTGTGACTTTTTCCGAGTTATATGTACTTTCTAAGATTATTTAGACAACACTGACAAACGGTGAAAGAAAACATCGTGAGGAAACCTGGGCATATAATTTCTAATTATAAGTTTGAAATCGCCAACTCACACTGAACAAGCGAGGATTAATGCTCAAACCTTTTTCGTGTGAGGAGAGGCTTTGCTCAGCAGTGGGCATTTATAGACTGTTGATGTGATGATGACGATTATAATGCGATATTTTATTAAAAATTCCAGAGACAAGTTTACGATCAGCGAAGATGGTTATGGCCGCATTGTGGGCCGCCTAAAGGACATTATCGTTCGAGGTGGAGAGAATATCGCTCCTAAAGAAATTGAAGATCTACTGATCACACACCCTGATATTGATGATTGCCAGGTAACTAATGCATTTACCATCGACTAGAAGACTGAACAAAGGTCTCCCCTATGAGTTCACGGCCAACGTGATCATGTTGGATAGACGATGTGACGGGGTTTTTCATAATCCCCAAGCTTTGTAGACAGGCTATAGACAGTTGGTTGGGTTCTTAGCGATATATAGCAGACGATCTTACTTTAGTCGGGCACAAATAATAAAATATACATAATTCTATTCAAGTTATAAATGAGATTATAAATGAGACTCATGGAGAGGAAGCTTATAACATTTTCTTGTCTAAACGAAAATATTAGAAACTAGTTTCTGCCAGCGACTTCGCCCGCGTTCCTAGGGGTAAATAGTAGCAGACCAAAATCTACCTCTGTTTCAAATTTCATTCTTTCCCTTCAGCCGTTTTGATGTGACTGATTAGCAAACATACACACACAATCACATATTTTCACATTTATAATATCGGTTCAAGCTAATCTCAACCATCGGCCCAGCCCATACAGTTACTTACAGCGTAACCAAACCAAGTTATAGAGTATTAAGTAGATTGCTATTGTTTCTTATCAGGCGTTATTTTTATGATATAAAAATACTATGCATGTGATATTTTAAGTTTTCCATTGTTAAATAATCTTAACTGGCAACTGGAACGAGTCATTCCGCCTCCTTCACTTTAGGATGACCGTCCCGGGATGATTTGTACGAGTCTCCCAGTTTGTGATTCAATTGTTATTCATTTCAGTTGTCGTAATATAAAATTTAATATTATTTTTCTTTGCTGTTTTTGTATTAGGTACTAAAACGTATACATATCTACATGCAGTACTTACTGTGTTCTGTTTGCCACTAACTAAAACTATAGAGTCTTCAATCACGTCCTAGTCGTTTCACCGGCCTAGTATAGGGGACCCGAGGATGTGAAATTTGTGATTTTTTTTATGGCATAAGGCAATCCAGGAATCCAGGAATCGAAATCCAGGCAAATGCCTGTTCGGCGGTTTTTTGTCGCTTAGTATCCCATTTCTAAA